GCAGAATCGNTGAAAGGAAAAAAATACCGGGGAGTGCCAATTCTTTTGCAAGTCAACAGGAAAAATTCGCAAAAATGAACAGGATTCTGTTTTTGACATTGGATAATTTAAAGCTCATTGAGAGCCAATTTCCTACGCTTTCAAAAAATTTTTTGCTCATGTACTTTCTGGGAAAACGCCGTTGCTGCTAGTTTACCGCAAGTTAGCAGAAAAGTCATTGTAAAATGGAGTAAAATCTGTTTTCCAAGATCGGATGATTTAGAGCTCATTAGCAGCTAATTTTTCACGTTTGCACTTTTCAAACACTTTTCAAGTTACCATTTTTCCATCAGTTAATTCCCAACTTTTTGTCAGGGGTTTTTAATTTAGATTGTTCAATTTCCATTTTGACGTGGACTCTTCTTAGATTTCATCGTGGGGGCTGATTCGCGGAGTGTCTCATGACGGCAAGCACCATCTAACAAAATTCTAGGAAATGCTAAAATTTTCATGAGAATGCGGGAAAATTCCCCGAAATTCGAGGGGGTTTTGCAAGTTTCCGAATTTTCTAACGAATTCAGGAGAATTTCGTAAGTTTGTAGAAATATGGAAGAAATCGAAGAAACTCCTTGAAATTTTGAAAGAATTGAATAAACTTGGAAACATTTCGAGAGAATCCAAGTATTTCTGGTTGTTCTCCTAACTCGAAGTTCAGCCAATCAGAGCGCAGTATTTGAGGCTGTCAGACAGTTTTAGTTCGGAAATTTCTTAAAAATTTCAAAATTTTCCAACTCTGACAGCACCAGGCCAATTGCAAGATCAAATCAAATATACAAAGAAAAATAACACTCATGAAAATTCACCTGTTTTCTAGAAATTTCGATAGAATTCTTTGAGTTTCAAGAAATTTTGAATATATCAATCACTTCTAAACATTTCGAGTAATTTCAGAGACTTTTTAAAATTACGTATGTTAACCTAGCAGGCAAAAGTAGCAGAATCGAATTTTCAATATTGGATAATTTGCAGCTTATTATGAGCTAGTTTTATATGCCTTCAAAAAATTTTTTGCTAATACCGTTTTTGAAAAAAAACGTCTGTGCTAGCTTTTTTGTAAGTTAGCAGAAAAATTATTTAAAAAATCAATAGAATTTGATTTTTGATATCGGATAATTTAAAGCTAATTAACAGCTAATTTTCTACGTTTTCAAAAAATTTTCAGCTAACCCAGTTTTTGGAAAAACGGCGTCAATGCTAGCTTACCGCAAGTTAGCAGAAAAAATGGTTAAAAAATGAACAAACTTTCGTTTTCAATATGGGATAATTTAGAGCTCGTTAGCAGCTATTTTTTTACGTTTCAAAAAATTAAAAAAAAAAAAACAATTTTTTTTTCAAAACAAAATTTTTTCTGAATTTTTGTTTTTTTTTTGACAAAACGACGCATTTATATACTTTTGACTGAAATGTAGAAACAAACTAAATCTCATTCATAAAAGTGGCAAAAAAAACAGTTTTGTTATTGGATAATTGAAAAATCATTACCAGATGATTTGTTATAATTCCAAAAGTTTTCATCTTTATGCCGTTTGGAAAACAATAGCGTTGCGGCTTATTATGAGCTAATTTTATCTGCATTTAAAAATTTTTCTGCTAATGTCATTTTAAAAAAAGCGTATTCATGCTAGCATGATGCGTATGCTAGCTTTTTTGTAAGTTAGCAGAATAATCATTTAAAAAATCAACAGAATTGAATTTCCGATATCGGATCATTTAAAGCTAATTGAGAGCTAATTTTCTACGTATGCAAAAAAATTTTCAACTAACCCAGTTTTTGGAAAAACGGCGTTGATGCTACCTTACCGCAAGTTAGCAGAAAAAATGGTTAAAAATTAACAAAATTTGGTTTTCGACATGGGATAATTTACAACTCATTAGCAACTATTTTTCACGTTTCGAAAAATTGTTGAAAAAACTTTTTTTTCTCAAAAAATGTGTTTTTTTAATAAAAAAATTCAATGTTTCTTTTTCATAAAATGTAGGAATGACCACATTTGTGAAAGTGATAAAAAAATCCTTTTTGACATTGGATAATTGAAAAATCATTATCGGATAATTTGTTATTATTCCAAAAGTTTTCATTTTTATGCCGTTCAGAAAACAATAGCGTTGCGGCTTATTATGAGCTAATTTTATATGCACCTAAAAAATTTTCTGCCAATGCCATTTAAAAAAAAACGTATTCATGCTAGTTTTTTTTGTAAGTTAGCAGAATAATCATTTAAAAAATCAAGAGCTAATTTTCTACGTATGCAAAAAAAATTTTAACTAACCCAGTTTTTGGAAAAACGGCGTTGAAGCTACCTTACCGCAAGATAGCAGAACAAATGGTTAAAAAATTAACAAAATTTGGTTTTCGACATGGGATAATTTAGAGCTCATTAGCAGCTATTTCTTCACGTTTCAAAAAATAATTTTTTTTTTCAAAACATTTTTTTTTTTTTTTCACAAAACGACGCATTTATATACTTTTTACCAAAATGTAGAAATGAACGAAAAAATCAGTTTTGACATTGGATAATTGAAAAATCATTACCAGATAATTTGTTATAATTCCAAAAGCTTTCATCTTTATACCGTTCGGAAAACAATAGCGTTGCGGCTTATTATGAGCTAATTTTATATTCATCCAAAAACTGTTCTGCTAATGCCTTTTTAAAAAAAAAGTGTTTCTGCTAGCTTTTCTGTAAGTTAGCAGAAAAATTATTTAAAAAATCAATAGAATTTGATTTTCGATGTCGGATAATTTCAAGCTAATTAAGAGTAAATTTAAAATTATATTGGAAAATCAAAGAAACATGAATTTCAGTTCAATTATTATATATGAATGCATAGTAATCATAAAAATTCAGGTAGTAAATCTATTCTTGAATATTCACTTAATCAAAAATTCCGCCTAAAATAACTACTCAATATTCATTTTTTAATTGAAATTTCATGATCCTTTTCCCTTCCTGAAACCAATTTAATTTCGTTTTTCGGAAAGTTGATGGTTAACTGCTCACAAAGTTTCAATGTATTTACTACAAAGTTTATTCAGTGTCAGTATTTCTCGCAGATGGAATGAGAAATAACCGAGTCTGATAAGGCTGATAATGCACCTATGGGAGTTCCCCCTACTCGACTCCTTTCTCAAAATTGACTACGAAAACAAAAAATTTCGAATTATAAATAATGATGTGTTAATAATTTTTCAATTATCCAATCTCAAAAATGATTTTTTTGCTACTTTTATAAATGAGATTTAGTTCATTTCTACATTTTGGTCAAAAGTAGGTAAATGCGTCGTTTTGTGAAAAAAAAAAATTTGTTGAAAAAAAAAATTATTTTTTGAAACGTGAAAAAAAAATTATCTTCAACAATTTTTCGAAACGTGAAAAATAGTTGCTAATGAGTTATAAATTATCCCACGTCGAAAACCAAATTTTGTTAATTTTTAACCATTTTTTCTGCTAACTTGCGGTAAGGTAGCATCAACGCCGTTTTTCCAAAAACTGGGTTAGCTGAAAATTTTTTTGGATACGTAGAAAATTAGCTCTTAATTAGTTTTAAATGATCCGATATCGGAAATTCAATTCTATTGATTTTTTAAATGATTATTCTGCTAACTTACAAAAAAGCTAGCATACGCATCATGCTAGCATAAATACGCTTTTTTAAAAATGGCATTAGCAGAAAATTTTTAAATGCATATAAAATTAGCTCATAATAAGCCGCAACGCTATTGTTTTCTGAACGGCATAAAAATGAAAACTTTTGGAATTATAACAAATTATCTGGTAATGATTTTTCAATTATCCAATGTCAAAACTGATTTTTTTGCAACTTTTATAAATGAGATTTCATTCATTTCTACATTTTGGTAAAAAGTATATAAATGCGTCGTTTTGTGAAAAAAAAACAAAAATGTTTTGAAAAAAAAATTCTTTTTTGAAACGTGAAAAAATAGCTGCTAATGAGCTCTAAATTATCCCATGTCAAAAACCAAATTTTGTTAATTTTTTAACCATTTTTTCTGCTAATTTGCAGTAAACTAGCATTGACGCCGTTTTTCCAAACACTGGGTTAGCTGGAAATTTTGTAAAAACGTAGAAAATTAGCTGTTAATTAGCTTTAAATTATCCGATATCGAAAATCAAATTTTATTGATTTTTTAAATAATTTTTCTGCTGACTTACAAAAAAGCTAGCAGAGACAGGTTCTTTTCAAAAACGGTATTAGCAAAAAAAATTTTTAAGGCATATAAAATTAGCTCATAATAAGCTGCAAATATATTAGGTAAAAAAAAAGTTGTCTGGATTTCGCTCTATATTCATTTTTCTAGCGTTCCATTTTGCCCCGCCGTCTCATTTTGCCCCACTGTCCCATTTTGCCCCACTCTCCCCTATATATGATATGTATTATTGTGTATATACTATATATACACTGTCCCATTTTGCCCCACTCTCCCCTATATATACATATAATATATACTATATTAATTTGAGAGTGGGGCAAAATGAGACGGCGGGGCAAAATGGGACGCGGGGCAAAATGGAACGCTAGAAAATATGAATATAGAGTGAAATCCAGACAACTTTTTTTTTACCTAAGATGAGTTCAAAAATGATTATTTTAGGTTAAGTCAGTGACATTAGTCTATTCTGTCTTTATCGTTATTTTGTAATCTGAAGCAGATAAGAGAATTTTGATGGGGACCTTTTTTTGGAGAGAATTTCAAGGGCTATAAAAAAGGTTATTATAAAAATTTCGCTATCTTGATTATAGAAATGATAATTCGCTGTTGAACTCAGTGACAACAGTCCATTTTACAGTTTTTGGCTACTATTTTGTAATCTAAGAGAGATAAGAGAATTTTTATCAGAACCTTATTTATAGAGAATCTCAAGGGCTACAAAAAAGATTTGTTTGAAACGTAGTTAAAATTCAGTACATCAACGGTTGACCACAGATCGGCCACTTACGAAAATCTTCAGGAAACCTCGGGTCAACGGTCCTAGTCAATCACCGAATCTCAGCGTTAGTTAGTTTCAGATCATTGTACAGAGCAGTATCGCACCTTAGGAGCTCTTAGTAGCTACTAGCCTTACCTTCGAACGGCGTCAGTACATCACTCGTTCGAAGCAGTTATTTATCAGTACATCTCCTATTTGAATTCTCAGTACAGTCTCCTATTATTCAGTATATTGTTCAGAAAATCTCCAGTGTTAAATTCAGAACAGTTTGAATTAATTTCAGTGACAATTAACAGAGTGTAACAAGTGACGCTAAGGTGGTTCGATTCCACCGAATAAATCAGTATATTTTTTATAGACTCAGTGCGTTCGTTTTTCACCGGCATTTCCACTACCCCTTTCCCAATCCACCCTAAATTCAGTTTTCCCTCCAAACAAGATTCCCAAGAAAATTTCGCTATCTTCATTACAAGAAAAATAATTTTGAGTTGACTCAATGGTCCACTCTGCAGTTTTCGGCGAGTATCTTGTAATCTAAGAGGGACGCGACTAATTTGAGGGATATATTTTAAAAAGATCATTATGAAAATTTGTCGATCTCCATTGGATTTCAAGATATTTGGTAAACTTCTTGACAATCGACTCGGATTGTGAAAATTCTCTTAGAATTCATGGGAAGTCCCTGAGTTCTTTCAAATTATTTAAAAAACTTGACGAATTTTCTTCGAAGGTTCCGGAAACTTGGAGCATTCTTTCAAAATCTCTGTAAATCTCGATTCCTCCAAAATTTCTAGAAACTTGAACAACTCTCCCGCAATTTTTTGAAGTTTCTCCTCTTTGTTCCTAAAAAGTTGGAAATTCCTCTGGAAATTTTGAAAAGTCTCTAAAATGACTCCAAAATGTGTAGAAGTGATTGATATATGNAAAATTCTCTTAGAATTCATGGGAAGTCCCTGAGTTCTTTCAAATTATTTAAAAAACTTGACGAATTTTCTTCGAAGGTTCCGGAAACTTGGAGCATTCTTTCAAAATCTCTGTAAATCTCGATTCCTCCAAAATTTCTAGAAACTTGAACAACTCTCCCGCAATTTTTTGAAGTTTCTCCTCTTTGTTCCTAAAAAGTTGGAAATTCCTCTGGAAATTTTGAAAAGTCTCTAAAATGACTCCAAAATGTGTAGAAGTGATTGATATATGCAAAATTTCTTGAAACTCAAAGAATTCTATCGAAATTTCTAGAAAACAGGTGAATTTTCATGAGTATTATTTTTCTTTGTATATTTGATTTGATCTTGCAATTGGTCTGGTGCTGTCAGAGTTGGAAAATTTTGGAATTTGTAAGAAATTTCCGAACTAAAACTGTCTGACAGCCTCAAATACTGCGCTCTGATTGGCTGAACTTCGAGTTAGGAGAACAACCAGAAATACTTGGATTCTCTCGAAATGTTTCCAAGTTTATTCAATTCTTTCAAAATTTCAAGGAGTTTCTTCGATTTCTTCCATATTTCTACAAACTTACGAAATTCTCCTGAATTCGTTAGAAAATTCGGAAACTTGCAAAACCCCCTCGAATTTCGGGGAATTTTCCCGCATTCTCATGAAAATTTTAGCATTTCCTCGAATTTTGTTAGATGGTGCTTGCCGTCATGAGACACTCCGCGAATCAGCCCCCACGATGAAATCTAAGAAGAGTCCACGTCAAAATGGAAATTGAACAATCTAAATTAAAAACCCCTGACAGAAAGTTGGGAATTAACTGATGGAAAAATGGTAACTTGAAAAGTGCTTGAAAAGTGCAAACGTGAAAAATTAGCTGCTAATGAGCTCTAAATCATCCGATCTTGGAAAACAGATTTTACTCCATTTTACAATGACTTTTCTGCTAACTTGCGGTAAACTAGCAGCAACGGCGTTTTCCCAGAAAGTACATGAGCAAAAAATTTTTTGAAAGTGTAGGAAATTGGCTCTCAATGAGCTTTAAATTATCCAATGTCAAAAACAGAATCCTGTTCCTTTTTGCGAATTTTTCCTGTTGACTTGCAAAAAAATTGGCACTCCCCGGTATTTTTTTCCTTTCAAAAGGGTAGCTAAAAGCATTCATCCCTAGTCTGTAAGCATGTACTAACATCCTCTTCTTTAAAAAAAAAAAATCAATTTTTTTTAGAAAAAAGATTGAAAAATTTGTTTGAAAAAAAAATGAATTTTTTTTTGGAAACGTGAAAAATTAGCTGCTAATGAGCTCTAAATCAGCCGATACTGAAAATCAGGTTGTTCTCCATTGTAAGATGATTATTCTGTTAACTTGCAGTAAGCTAGCAGCAACGGCGTTCTTCCAAAAAGTATATTAGCAAAAAAATTTTTGAAAACGTACAAAATTAGCTTTTATTCAGCTTTAAATTATTCCATGTCAAAAAAAAATTCTGCTCATTTTTGAAAATTTCTTTTGCTAGCTTACAAAAAAGCTAGCATGGACACGTTTTTTTCAAAAACGACGTTAGCAAAAAATTTTTTGAAATTGTATAAAATTAGCTCATAATGAGCTGCAAATCATCCAATAACGAAAATTCGATTCTGCTACTTTTGCCGGCTAGGTATACATACATCATCAATATTAGCCAATGAAAATGATTTGTATGGAAAAAATAGTTGCGTTGTACTTTTTATCAAAGACAGACCAAGTCACATGACTTAGGCTCACAGACTAGACTCAGCTCACGCAGTATGTCTATTGACTTTTACTTATAAATGACTGGAGATTTATGTGCCCATCAATATTAACCAACAAAAATGATTTTTATGGTAAAAATAGTTGTGTTGTATTTTTTATCAAAGACAGACCGAGTCACATGACTTAGGCTCACAGACTAGACTCAGCTCACGCAGTATGTCTATTGACTTTTACTTATAAATGACTGGAGATTTATGTGCCCATCAATATTAACCAACAAAAATGATTTTTATGGTAAAAATAGTTGTGTTGTATTTTTTATCAAAGACAGACCGAGTCACATGACTTAGGCCCACAGACTAGACACAGCGCACGCATTATGTCCATTGACTTGGACTTATAATTGACTAGAGATTTATGTGCTCATCAATATTAGCCAACAACAGTGATTTTTAAATAAAAAATCATGGTGTTGTATTTTTTATCCACAACAGACCATCCCACATGAGAGAGCTCACGCAGTATGTCTATTGACTTGGACTTAAAAATGACGGGAGATTTATGTGCTCATCAATATTAGCCAATGAAAATGATTTATATGGAAAAAATAGGGATGTTGTATTTTTTATCAAAGGCAGACCAAGTCACATAACACAGCTACCGTATTATGTCTATTAACTTGGACTTATAAATGACCAGAGATTTATGTGCTCATCAATAGCCAATGAAAATGATTTGTATGGAAAAAATAGGAGCGTTGTATTTTTTATCAAAGACAGACCGAGTCACATGACTTAGGCTCACAGACTAGACTCAGCTCACGCAGTATGTCTATTGACTTGGACTTATAAATGACTGGAGATTTATGTGCCCATCAATATTAACCAACAAAAATGATTTTTATGGAAAAAATAGTTGTGTTGTATTTTTTATCAAAGACAGACCGAGTCACATGACTTAGGCCCACAGACTAGACACAGCGCACGCATTATGTCCATTGACTTGAACGTATAATTGAGTAGAGATTTATATGCTCATCAATATTAGCCATCAACAGTGATTTTTAAATAAAAAATCATAGTGTTGTATTTTTTATCAACAACAGACCATCCCACATGAGAGAGCTTACGCAGTATGACTATTGACTTGGACTTAAAAATGACGGGAGATTTATGTGCTCATCAATATTAGCCAATGAAAATGATTTATATGGAAAAAATAGGGGTGTTGTATTTTTTATCAAAGGCAGACGAAGTTACATGACACAGCTCCCGTATTATGTCTGTTAACTTGGAATTATAAATGACCAGAGATTTATGTGCTCATCAATATTAGCCAATGAAAATGATTTGTATGGAAAAAATAGTTGCGTTGTATTTTTTATCAACGACAGACCGAGTCACATGACTTAGGCCCACAGACTAGACACAGCGCACGCATTATGTCCATTGACTTGGATTTATAATTGACTAGAGATTTATGGGCTCATCAATATTAGCCAACAACAGTGAATTTTAAATAAAAAATCATGGTGTTGTATTTTTTATCAACAACAGACCATCCCACATTAGAGAGCTCACGCAGTATGTCTATTGACTTGGACTTAAAAATGACGGGAGATTTATGTGCTCATCAATATTAGCCAATGAAAATGATTTATATGGAAAAAATAGGGGTGTTGTATTTTTTATCAAAGGCAGACCAAGTCACATGACACAGCTCCCGTATTACGTCTATTAAATTGGACTTATAAATAACCAGAGATTTATGTGCTCATCAATATTAGCCAATTAAAATGATTTGTATGGAAAAAATAGTTGCGTTGTATTTTTTATCAAAGACAGACCGAGTCACATGACT